TCCATGTATCTATCTATCTGTCTATCTACTTATCTATCCGTCCATTCTGTCCATCTGTCCATGTTTGTGTGTATATATGTGTGCATGTATGTGTGTACATAATATATATGTATATATATATACACACACACATTTGCACCTACATATGAATCTGTGGAGGTTTCTATTTGTTTGTATGTATGTGTATACATGTATAGATGCGTTTGTTCGCTTCGATGTGAGGGAGTGTGTATGTAATGTATTCATGTGTGCAGCATGCATGCATGCATGCATGCATGCATGGTTGTTTGTTTGTTTGTATTGTTTGTATGTTTGCATGCATGGTTGTTTGTTTGTTTGTATTGTTTGTATGTTTGCATGTTTGTATGTGTGTGCGTTGCTCTCTCTCTCTCTCTCGCCCTCCCTGTCCCTCCATGTCTGCGTCTTAGGTTGTGTGGCGATTTGATTCATGGTGTTCACAGCGCTCTGTTCTTTACATGACGCAATTCCTATCATGCTATGGATCCCAACGACGTCCTTCAGTTTCCATTGCTCCTACATCTTGAACCGCAGCCCTAGGCGCTAGACTAGACGGCACTAGGCTCACTAGACACCACAAGGTACAAGATTCATGTCACGTGAATGTTTTCAACCCTAACACCACTCCAAGGTCACTCAAGCCTCCTTTCCTCGACCCTCAGCTTCTACAAACCCAACGTCCTGCGAGCCCGGATAGAGGGCTGAGAGTTTGCGGGGTAAATCGGGAAAATAGAGATTCGTTGGGGCAGTGAGGGATTTATGGGATTAGGTCTTGCAGGCCTTTGGGGATTTGAGTTTTGGGGTTTTGACTTGCGAGGCCGGCATGAACCAATGAGGCCCCACACATATCTTGATAGCCTGCTCATAGACCTTGTCGTGCTCCGTCTTCAGGCCGCGGCATATCGTGCTGGTTCTCGATGCTTCCGGCAGCATGCGCCAGCAGGACACACAAACCCTAAAGAAAATTGCAGAAGCACCTTCCCGTCTTTGAGCTGTCTAGAGGGTCAGCCACGCCAGATTAGCGCGCTTCTCCCGTTTGTTTGAAGGGGTTTTGTGGATGCGCAGGGTTCGAGGTGTCCGCAAGAGACTTCGGACATAAGGTTTGTATAAACCATGAAAGAACCCTTGTAAAACCCCTTAAACAACAGGATCCTAGGACCCTTCATGGAGCCTTTGTAACAGAGCCTTTGCGGGTTTGCATGAAGCCCAGGACGTGGAGACCGACGCCGAGACGAGGCGTGAGCTTGGCAGCCAGTGTGCCAGCCTCACGAGGCTCGCATCGGGTGCTTGTAGGCTGAGAGGTATTTAGGGTTTAGGGGTTTAACCCTAAAGCCTAAACCCTAAACCCTGAACCCTAAACCCTGAACCCTAAACCCTAAACCCTAAGTTTCGAAATGGGTTGCAGGTTTGGGGTTTGAGGCCGAAGGCCCGTGGGGCTTACAGGAAGGTTTAGGGCCTAGGCAGCAATCAGCGAGCAGAGACACAAAACTGTGGAGCTGTGGATTCGGGGGACAGCTCAAGACCTTGGGACGGTGCGGGTTCATACACAATCAACCTATAGTCTCCATTGTAGTTCCTTTTTGGGGCTACCTTTTAGGATCCTTAATATAGAATTGGTTAAACCAAAGAAAGGAACTACAATGGAGACTATAGGAAAGACTCGTGAAGCTTGAAGCGAGGCCCTGCAAGTTCTATTCATGCAGCCTGGCAAGGCTTGAGGCAGCAGAGCTCTGCGCTGCGAAGTTTGCACGGGAGCATGCGAAAGCTCGGCCGCAAGACTTCTTCTCGGCCGTGGCTTTTCACGAGACGGCCACCGCGGTTTCAAAGAAACTGCTCGCGGGCGACTTTGCAGAGACCTTCGCACTGGGCGACCGTGCAGCCAATGGCACGTTCTACCTCCAGGGCCTTCAGGACTGGCTGTTGACGGTTTAGGGTTTTAGGGCTTTAGGGTTTTAGGGTTTTAGGGTTTAGGGTTTGGGGGTTTAGGGTTTTAGGGTTTAGGGTTTAGGTCAGGGCTTCCGGACACCCGCAAAAGAAACCGAGCCTGCCCACTCCTCTCTACAGTCTTGCGATCGAGACCCTAGTGATGCCATAGTGTCAGACAGAGTTCATCCGAGCGTCGAGCCCTAGCCCTGAAAAAGTTGCCTCTGACTCTGTAGGAGGCTGCCGATGTGCTAGCCGAGTATGCGGACTTGCCAGGGGAGCTTGTGATGCTCTCTGATGGGCGGCCGGCGGACACCAAAGCAGCACTGAACTTCTTCCAGGAGCCGGGTTGTCAGACATGCCTGTCAGTAGCTGAATCACGAGCAGTCTCAGCACGTTAACTGCAGTAGTAGTTGTGAAGCTTATAATCACAAGCAGTCGCCTTTGCCGGCTTTTTCTTGGAAGGGAGTTTTTGGAGGACACCTTCTTGCGAGGCCGGCATGCCGGAGTGCACGTGCACGGAATTGGCTTTGGTACGACGGTGGAGAGCTTTGCACCGCTTCAGCAGCTGGCGTGTTTGAGCGGCGGAACCTTCGCACTCTCTGGTAGCACGGTGCGTGGCTTGTGCCAGGCCTTCTCGACTCTCGGGTATTCTGGGAGTTGTGCTGTTTGTTGTGCTGTTTGTTCGTAAAGTTCCTGTTCTTAAACTCTACGTCTTGGCCTTGGCTCTGGCTCCAGTGACTGCTTCTTGCAGCCAAGATCTGTGTCCTCCACGATTACCTCGTCACAGAGCAGCAATTGGATCGTTGCAGATGAATCCGAAGCGAAGCCTCAGAAACTCGCCAATACCTTGGTCGAGACATGCTGTTGCAAACCCTAAACCCTAAACCCTTGCCGTTTTGCCCAGGCACCTTTAACTTTCATAGCAAGGTCCGTGGCGTTCCATGCTTGACAATAGTGTAGAGGACTTTTGGTTTCATGGTATTGTCCGGAAGGCCACGAGCCTCGAACTCCCTGACAGCCCAAGTAGCCAAAGTGCTATTGCAAACAAGGTGTTTGAAGGGTACCTATAGTCTCCATTGTAGTTCCTTTTTGGGGTTACCTTTTAGGATCCTTCATCTAGAATTGGTTAAACCAAAAAAAGGAACTACAATCGAAACTATAGGTCAGTATGCTCCTTCAGGCTCCAGACCACACTCCTCTGAACTGTACTCTTCCGGGCCTGCACTGTTGATACCTCCAGCAATTGCGCTGACAGTTCAGCAACACCCATCATCCCAAATTCATAATCCGAGGGGCTCGGCACACTCTGAAATCCCCCGACCCCAGAGGAAGCAGAAGCCACAGCTTCGGGTCGTCGACTTCGAATTGCCCGAGCAAGGGACCTTGGTTTGCGCGATATGGGGCTGTGGTTGTTTGTTCAGGTTCCGATTAGGGTTTAGGATTTCGGGGTCCTCAAAGTGGCGTAATACCGATCACATGCAGGGGTTTCGGCGGAAAAGGGGTGTGTATGGGTGTGTGTGTGTGTGTGATTGAGGATCAAGGCGCTGGGATTGTTCAGCGGAAGGACGGTTGGCAGCTCTGCAGAGCACACGCAACAACGAAGGCAGCAGTCATGGGTAGTGGTAATGAGGAGCAATCGGCACAGAAATGGACATAAAACCAGACGAAGACCCTTATTAACCGTATTACTGGACAACCTGCTGAAATTCGGCTCAAGACCCCAGAATCCCCTCGTCCACGTAGCCTTTCGCTACGGCGACGGGCCTGTGGTCGTGGTATGCTGGTTCACACTTTGAGGTTTGAGCCCGTTTTGTGCGAGGTCTTTGCATTTAGGACTGAAGGGGTTTGGGACTTTGGGGTCTGACGGTGTAGGAACGAAAGGCTTTACGGATTTACGGCTTAGGGCTGCAAGGGCCTAGGAGTCAAGGTAAGCTTAATCAGAATGTATTTGGCCGTTTCAAGTTCGAAGCAATGCTCAAGAGGTTTTTAGACTGGGAAGTGCACGCCCCGCCTGTGCGATTCGAGTATTTCCGAGCCCGAAGCTTGACGTATTTGACCTCCTGACTAGCTAGAAAGCCAGACCCCATCTTTGCACAAGCCTCCGCCCGCGCGAGAGAGAGCGTCGGTGAAGGATCTTCGGCAAGAAGCATGTGATCCGGTACCGAGCTGCACGAACCCACTTCAGTCTCCCATCCTCAATTATGTGTCCTTTTGTGGAAGTGTGAAGTGTCATCAGACAGCCTGGGCGATGTTGCTTTGCAAGCCTGTATCCACGAATCCTTACAAACTCATGTTGGCTGAGGTTTCGATGGGACGGCGTTTCAGCAGAAGAAGTTCGCAGCGGGGCCGGTCGTGCGGCGTCAGCTTCCTTACATGCGGGGTGGCATGCGATTGGTGCCTGGGCCAGTCGTTTTACTCCCGGTTTAGGCTTTGGAGCTTCAGGGTTGATAGCCCCCCCCAACTTCTCAAGCCTCCAAATCTGCCGCCCCCTCTCCAAGTGAGCCAAGCTGAGGTGTATAGCTTTCAAGACGACTGCGTGTCCAAGGATGGCACCTGGATGGTTGCGAAATCCTCCCGATACCTCGATGCAGCTCTGAACTCGCGGGTCGCGGTCGAGGCTCATGCTGCTTGGAACGAAATGTGACAGTCCTGATGGGCGGCTGCTATTGAGGATACTGCACTTCTTATGTCCATGAAGATTGCTATCATGGTCATTTCTACTGCAGAAGCAGCAGGATTGGCAGTAGTTCTCGTCGAAAGAGTAGCATAGCAGCCGTACTAGTGGCAGTATTGGCATGAATTACAGTGGTTGCGATAGCAGTGGGGTACGAGCAATGGCAGCAGCAGTGGAAGTAGCAGCAGCAGCAGCAAAACCAGCAGCAGCAGCAGCAGCAGCAGCAGCAGTACTAGTACTAGTACGAGTACTAGTACTAGTACTAGTACTAGTACTAGTACTAGCACTAGTAGTAGTACTAGTAGTAGTACTAGTAGTAGTACTAGTAGTAGTAGTAGTAGTAGTAGTATAGTAGTAGTAGTAGTAGGGTAGTAGTAGTAG